ATCTTGCTTCTTTTATTTATAATATCCAATTCGAATGATCGATCTTTGGTCGTTTTGGAGTTGGAAGAAAAGATAAAACGATGGAGAGGGTCTCGTTGGTCATCTCGAAAAAACTATACTGTAACGATACAAGGAACCGGGTTCTGACGTTTTACTTTCATACGATCACGTGCAAGCGAATACAACCGATGAACGATGGTTCTGCGGTTACACGCATCTCGAACGTTCCCACAATGCAACGAGCGTATGTAAAAGTCGTCGTACAGGTTCACCTGTGCGTCTGTGATTTCGGTCTCGTTTTTGACGACGCGCCTCAACCCAACGCTCTGAGAGAATCCGATACTCGAGCAGTGGACGTCCGAACCAAGTTTCATCTTTCGACGATTCGTTCGTTGAAAATATTTGGATGCGCGTCTGTATTCGAGAATCAATCCCCGTCGAATCGTTGTGTGTTCTCGGAAGATATCTCTTTTTCGGTTTATAAGAGATAACATCGATTCTTTGAATTGAATACGAGTAGTATCGATCTCGAAGAAACACTTTCGTTCTATCTATCTAATTTACATAATGATAAATATTACGAAAACAAAAAACCGTACATCTTCCGGTACAGTCACGAATGACTTCCGGTGACAGCAGTCGTCGCACGGTTCACGGCATCCTTTTCTCCTCTATCTACGTATTTCCATCCCGTTATTGTTCGCGAGGATGCTAAAACGTGCCGTGCCGCGTGTCATCCTTAAAATTACGCACGTTACCTCGATACACACGTTTTCGATCTAATCCGAAAATGAATACGCGCAACGAGGAGCGTGACGTCGGACCGAACGAACCGTGCAGAATTCTGAGAACTTTCGCACGGTGTAATCTGGTTGGAAAAAAAGGGGAGAGCGTAGGTGCACGCTTGCCTACGAGATCCTCTCGTTGTTTCAAGCGAAAACGAGCGAGAGATATTTCACGGTCGCGATTCGTTTCGATTTTTGAAACGAATCGCGCTGCATGCACCAACCGAACAGAGCCGAAAAGAAGGCGGAAAAACACGAGCGATAAACCGACGCGCGCGAAATGCGCGGAATGCAGCGGGCCACAGGGCAACGCGTGACCATGATCATTCGTGCCAAATGCCTTCGAACCACTTCGTTTCTTGTCATCCCGTTAGACTCTTGTGCTCGCATGGATTACATTCGTTATTCCCCGCACTCGACAGCGTCGAAAATGCGCGATATTTCCTTCTCTCCTGTTCTCGATTCGTTCTCGATTACAAAAGGAATGTTGGCCTTCACAGCCGACGCCAACGCCTCTGTCATCTTCGCGTTGTTCGAATTCACCGACAAATGCCGCTCGTTGCGTTCGAGATCCGCGAGAGGACGCGAAGGAGACGCGCATGCGCGTCATCGATTAATCCAAGTTTCGATCGTTGGTCGCGTACGAGCTACGAGGTACCGGTTCTCTCTTTAACAATGGAAAATCGCCCATTCACCGAACACATTTGGAGAGTCGGGCAACGGTACGACTGTAAATGCCGCGATTCACCGATTGCCACGCTTCTTCCCTTCCACGCATCTTCTCGCAATAACGATGCTGGATCGAGTCACGCTTCAAAATCTTATATACGTATATGCTAAACTTTTATACGTACGCGATACTGAAAACTATGAAAACAAAAATATTTTTGTAAAACAATTTAGTTTCAGACAATTTTATCGCGTGTTAAATTAACGTCTACATAGCTACTAATCGCTGCAAGGCCTAGTATAGCGTAAATGCCGTTTCCTCGGCAAAAAAATGACTCAAGAGTACAAAACCCACGAGACACGGTCTAGATGCGTAGGCGTATTCTCGCGTGAACGCGTAAATGGGAAGGGCTGTAGACGCTTCTAATTAAACGTCCTACTTTACGTTTCGTTGATAGCGCCGCTTCTACCATTATCTTAACACGTAAATCTCACGCGACGCGCGTGATCGACCACGTCTCTTCCAAGTTTCTTCCCGTAACCCAGCCACGTAATTTCCGTTAAAACAAAAATATTCCTTCTCACGTTTTCGCCTCTCTCGATGTTGATCGATCGTTTGTCGACAGAATGAAGAGATGATCGCAAGCCTATCGATACACAGTGGCGGCGGAGGAGGTGGAGGCGGCGGCGGTGGAAGCAGCGGA